GGAGACATCTCCAGATTATGTTATCAAATCCCTTATAAAGCACTACATTCGGTTCGTCTTGTATAGATGGGTCCCAGATGGCAATGTGGATGTCACAGGAGATTAGCTTTTGGAATGAAGGGCCTTGTTTCTAACTTCTGGAGCTTGGTAAATGAACCCCTGCAGTAGTCTCTGTGCTGCTGAAGTTCTTTTTGTGCTTTAAAGGGAAGAGGAAGCATCTAAGATGACCCCACTTCTAAAATACTAGATGTTAGCCAAATGCTTATGTTGGCTCTTTGAAAGAAGAGCTAATATTTTAACTAGATGTATAAAAAGGAGTTGGGAATAAAGAGAATATTTTATCACTGGCATAAACGTTCCAGGATATGTACTAACAAAGAAAAACAGGTTCCAGCTTCTCTACTCCAGCAGGGGGCAGAAGAGAGCTCTAGCTCTTTCTGACCTGGGATTATCCTAAGAAAATTGTGACAATCCAAGACAAAGTTCAGTGACACTTCCGTAGGCAGACTACCTGTGGGGTGTTAATGTCCACGTTCCCCTGCTTGTATAGATGGGTCCCAGCAGGTGCGTTCCTGGCTAGTTTGTTTCTGTCTAGGACAAAAGGACAAAAATAATTTTGAGTTCTTTAGACCTTGGAGGGGGCAATAGTATAGCACCCAGATAACAATAATAGCACTTTCATTATTTCAGATCTTTTCCGTATAACGCAACATTTCGCTATTTTCCATTTATATTTATGGCTAGAAGGAAAGAATTTTAAAATAATGAAGGATAAATGATTTTATTGTCAATATCTTTTTTGAAAGTGACCGTATGAGTGTGCATGGAATAATGAAAATTATTTTCACAGTTCTTTTCAAACTGAGAAACCAACCGTACCCTTTCATAGCTACGACCGAAAGCTGTGTGGTAGTGTTTCTTACATTGCAAAGATGAGATTACTATGAAAACATGGTGACTGTCCGGAAATGGATCTTTGTCTTGATGTTTTCAGTAACTCTCCAGCCTGCTGGCTAAGGTTGGCCTTGAAAAACCATTTCCACAAGGAAACTAAATTGTTCTTGCTTCATTTTGCCATGATGACTGATTGTGCTTGGGTAATGTGTAGTGCTTCGGTTGGGTTCCCTGGAGAGTGAGACCGAGTTAGGATCCACACAAAGGAGAACCCTTGGTGTCTATGCCTATGGAAAGGAGGGAAGGGAACAGGATTAAACAGAAGTTGAGAGTTTCCCAGTAGGCCCAGCATCACCCTCTGCCGACCCTTTCAGGAACTCTGGGTGTGAGTGTTTCCTCTGAGGGCCCTAGCTGGGACACTGCCATGCTGGGTGCTTATGGGCTGGGCACCCCCAAATCCTACCTCAGCCACAGGTCACCTTGGTTAGGGCAGCTCCTTGCGGCTGAGACAGTCATTAAAGGACTGCAGTCCCTGAAGTTGCATGGAATCTTTCATTGGCAGGCAGTCCGAACAGCATATCCAGAACTTGGTGCTACCGGTCAGACAGTCAGACACTTAGGATTCTCCTGCCTATGGAATGTTAACTCTGGCATATTGAACTCACTGTTGGCTTTAAAGACAAGGTGATGATCTGCCGTATTCCATCTCACTGTATTGCTAAATGAAGCTTTTTTCCTGTTGGGTGTAGTTTGGAAAATAGGATTGTACAGAATAAAAAAGAGCACATTTTTGTGTGTTTTCCTAGGGAATACAATCACTTAGTCCAGTAAGGCTGATACACAAGAGGACCACAGACTAGGTGGCTCATAAACAACAGGAATCAATTTCACACAGTTTTGGAAGGTAGGAAGTCCAAGCTCAAAGCACCAACAGATTTGGTGTCCGGTGAGCAGCTGCTTTCTGGTTTATAAACCACTGGAAGTCTTCTCCCTGTGTCTACACAAGGCAGAAGAGGCAGGGAAGCTCCCTGCGGTCTCTTTATGAGGACAGTAAGGTCCCTCCGGAGGACTCTACCCTGATGGCCCAATCCCCTACCAAGTGCCCCAACATCCCAATACCATAATTTTGCAAGTTAGGATTTCTACACACAAATTGTGGAGAGATACAGACGTTCAGCCAGTAACAGTGATGATAGCTTTACAGGCAAGCAGAGTTCTTTTAATTCATTCTCCGTGGCTCATAACAGTTCCCCAGACTCAGAAATTAAAAAGAAAAAATGGAATTTATTTTGGTGCACAGTTTTGGAGGTCTAAGGTGAGGGTTGCACCTGATGGTGGCCTTCCTGCTGGCAGAGTGCTGGGGTGGGACAGACAGCATTGTGTGGGGACAGACAAACGCGTGTGGATCTCCTTTGGTCACTTACTCTTTCTTTTTCTTTTTCTCTTCTTCTTCTTCTTCTTCTTCTTCTTCTTCTTCTTCTTCTTCTTCTTCTTCTTCTTCTAGGGAAGGGTCTACAGGGTGTTCAGGTTCTCACTACATAGATTGAACTCATAGTGATCTGCCTGTACACAGCCTCCCAAGTGCTGGGATTACAGGGATTACAGGCATGTGTCACCATGCCCAGTCTCAGTTTCCATCTCAGTGTGCCCTGGGGGCGGGAATGCATAGTAGGCCGGGGCATCGAACCCCCGACCCTTGAGCCTGCTTGCAGATACTTTAATCTGCTAAGCTATTTGGGCAGCCTGACTTTTTTCTTAAAAAGCCCCCATACTCAGTTTTGGGTATTCCACCCTGCAGGCCTTATCTAACCCTAGTCGCCTCCCAAACGGCCCACCTCTAAACACTGTAGATTGCTTTCCATCTTCCTAGTACCTCACAGAGAAGACTCAACTGAAGTATGAGTTTGAGGGCAACATACCTTATTTAAGCCATAGCAGCAGTTGGTTCATTTGCTTTGAGACTTGGCCTACAAACAGCCAACTCTGTGGATTGAACATAATTGCAGTGGATAATGGAACATTATTTTGCGGTTGTTCTTTGAGATCTTTGTGCGGGGATAGCTGTTCAGTACATCTTAAAGGGTGGTGCTGGCAGTTTGTTAAATGAAAAGCACAAGGACACGATGAAAAGCGGGTGGGGAAGGCACATTAGTATGTTCTCCCATGGCATGTTCACCAAACCTAGATTTAGGTAAGTGCCAGTGTTAGTTCAGTCCATTCATTCCACACATTCATCCCCTCATCATGTGGCCCCAGCTTCATGCATTGTCTGTATGTCCTTCATGCCCCTTTGAGCCACAGTTCTCACCTTCAGAGGATGCTGTCTCACCAGTGTCGCCTTTGTTAACATAACCACCAGAGTCATCAGACGTGAGTAAACTTGGAAGGATGTCAACCTCATGAGGCAGCATGGGAGTTTCTGGAATCTAATTCATTGGCAGTAAATACTATTAGTTGCTTCCTTGAAGCCAGGCCCATTTTATTCATTTTATTTTATTATTTTCATTTGTGTATTGGGTACAGGGTCTCACTGTGCAGCTCGGACTCCTAGTGATCCTCCTTTTTTCAGCCTCCCCAGCGCTGGGATTATAGGCATAAGCCACCATGCCCAGACTCTGTAGCCAGCTCAGCGTGCCCAGGGGTGGGACCAGGAAGCATGCAGGACTGGATATCGAACCCTGGTCCCTGTACTTGTCTAAGCAGGTGCTTAGTCTGCTGAGCTATCTACCCGGCCCTCATTTTGTTCATTTTAGAACAGCATGAATGTTCCATACTCAATTCTGAATAACAGTACTTTTGAGTCATTCTTTCAAGTAGCTATGAGCAGAGCAGCGAATTCTGTCCGCAGCTCGCTTCCACGGTGCTTTTACTGAAGTCCTCTTCCATACGTCATTATAAAAGCATGACTTTAAGAATATTCCTACCGCACACTAACAACAGAGTTACCAAGGTAGTGTGTAGATTGAGGCTTCATACAAAGAGTCATTTTTCTTCTCTGTCAGGGATTGTCTTAAGTGAATGTGGATTTTTGTTTTTTAATTGGTATTGCATGTGTGAGAAGAATCTGTTAGCTGTTACCACTGTCTTAACTTGCACTTTTATCTTCCAGTATTTTATTTTATTTTTTATATTTTAGGGAAAGGTCTACAGGGTGTTTATGGTCACATTGCTAGATTGGACTCGTAGTGATCCGCCTGTTTACAGCCTCCCAAGAGCTGGGATTACAGGCATGTGCCACCTCGCCCAGTCTTAATTGCTATCTCAGTGTGCCCCGGGGGCAGGGCCAGCACGGCAGAACCCCTGACCCCTGTGCCTGCTTGTAGGTGCTTTAGTGTGCTAAGCTGTCTGGCCGGCCTTCTTCCAGTGTTTCTTATCATCCACACAAGTGTTAACTCAGCTAAAAAGGTCAGTGAATGAGTGCTTTCCCGTTACCATGCAGAGTTTAGAAAGGACTTCACTGCGCCTTGGAAATGCCTGCAGCCATGTGGAGAAAGCGCTGCTGGTGTAGGGCAGAGCTGAAGTGGGAAAGAGCCGGGGGAAGCCCGACTGCTTTGCTGAAAGAAATAAAGGGCCTGACCCCATAGAGTAGCAGTGAGGTAGAGGGCAGAGGGCAGGGAGCTTGGAGGGGTGTGGAGAAAGGATTGGGAGAGGAGTAAGAAGTTGAAGCATAAGAAGTTTTCAGCCCAAAGGGCCAAGGAGATAGCTCAGTGGCTTAAGGTTCTGCCTTGGCGAGTGCAAGGTCTGGAGTTTGATCCCCAGTACTGGGGGGAAAAAAAAAGTTTTCAGCCTGAGTGACCAGATGCACAGCAATATTTTTAATTTTTTAATTGAAATAGTGAGTGGGAGAAGAGGTGCCCTGGTTTATAATCAAAAATGACATCGCTTTTAAAGAAAAATCTGTTATGACTCTTCCATTTGGAAAAGGGTAGATCTTAGCACTGCCCCGCCCCCCAAAAGGGACAGAAGACCACATGCTGCGTGGTATTGGGCTTTATACCACAACGGGCTTGGGTTCCTCGGAAGTCAGAGCATTCTCTGTTCTGTGTGCCTGCATACAACCCCGCATCTGTGCTTCCCTTAATAGTGTGTGCTCGTTTGTTTTCTAGGAATGGTACAAAAGCTGGACCAGAAACTTCCGGTGGCCAACGAGTACCTGTTGCTCTCTGGAGGAGTCCGGGAAGGTGTGGTGGACCTGGATTTAGATGAGCTGAACGTCTATGCCCGGGGCACTGACTACGACATGGACTTCACCCTTCTGGTGCCCGCCCTAAAGCTGCACGACCGTAACCAGCCTGTGACGCTCGACATGCGCCACTCCGCCTTGTGCCATTCCTGGCTGAGCCTGCGGCTCTTCGACGAGGGGACAATCAGCAAGTGGAAAGACTGCTGCACCATTGTAGATCACATCAACGGCGCCACCAACTACTTCTTCTCCCCCACCAAGGTGGCCGACTGGTTCTACGATTCTATCAGCATTGTCCTGTCGGAGATTCAGAAGAAGCCCCAGCGGGGGATGCCAAAGGTGGAGAAGGTGGAGAAGAACGGGACCATCATCTCCATCATCCTGGGCGTGGGGAGCAGTCGCATGCTGTACGATATCGTCCCTGTGGTGTCTTTCAAAGGCTGGCCCGCAGTGGCCCAGAGCTGGCTGATGGAGAACCACTTCTGGGATGGGAAGATCACGGAGGAGGAAGTCATCAGTGGCTTTTACCTGGTCCCCGCCTGCTCCTACAAGGGCAAGAAGGACAATGAGTGGCGACTGTCCTTTGCCAGGAGCGAGGTGCAGCTGAAGAAGTGCATCTCCAGCAGTCTCATGCAGGCCTACCAGGCCTGCAAGGCCATCATCATTAAACTCCTGTCCCGGCCCAAGGCCATCAGCCCCTATCACCTGCGGAGCATGATGCTCTGGGCCTGTGACAGACTTCCCGCCAGCTACCTGGCGCAGGAGGACTATGCAGCCCACTTTCTGCTGGGCCTCATCGACGACCTTCAGCACTGCCTGGTCAACAAGATGTGCCCCAATTACTTCATCCCGCAGTGCAACATGCTGGAGCACCTGTCAGAGGAGACGGTCATGCTGCACGCCCGGAAGCTGTCCTCGGTGCGCTCAGACCCTGCCGAGCACCTGCGCACCGCCATCGAGCACGTCAAGGCGGCCAACCGACTGACCCTGGAGCTGCAGCGGCGAGGGAGCACCACCAGCATCCCCTCCCCACAGTCCGACGGAGGGGACCCCAGCCAGCCCGATGACCGCTTGGCCAAAAAACTGCAGCAGCTGGTGACTGAGAACCCGGGGAAGTCCATCTCTGTCTTCATTAACCCCGATGACGTCACCAGGCCGCATTTCAGAATCGACGATAAATTTTTCTGAGCGCTTTGCTGATTTTCCTCTCCTCCCAGTTCTGTAACTCATCCTATGTGGAGTGGTTTGTGGTTCTATCTTTCCATTTTTTACCTATCCAGCTTCAATTGGATTTGTTCAGAACGAATTCTGAGTTTCCTGGTTCTGATGGCTGGTGCAGGCGCTGAAACAGTGTGTTACTATTTCATGTTCTGCCTCTGATTTTGCGGTTTACGTCTTCTAGTTCTCGTCACGTGGTTTTGTTTGTTGTATTTTCCTGTTGTTTGTTTAAAGGAGGACTTGAGCCATAGATGGAGATGCCCATGATTCCTGTTGCTTTTTCTGTTTGGTACTCTGCGAATTTGTCAATGGGTCTTAGGAAACAAATCTCTTTCTGATACTTCAGGATTCTATTATATATTTTATTTCTGTCTTTATTTTTCTAATGACTTTTCATAACTAGGAACATTTGAGAATCGTAAGTACCCGAGAACTGCCTGGCACGGGTTGGATTTCTTGCTTCCTGACTAGGAGCCAGAAGCGCTTTCCCTTTTTCTGCCGAACAATGTCAACTTTGAAAGTCATGCTACAAATACGGCTTCACTGAATGTAACTGTGCTCGAATCAGCAAACGTTGGAGGGTTTGGAGGGTGCGTGGTAGCTTACTGAACAGAGTTAAGGTTTCCAAATGTTAGTTTTAGCGTATGTAATTATTTGAAGCCTTATTTAAATCCTATTAAAGAACATACCATTATAATTGTTATTTGCACTAATGAAATCTGCCATTGTCAGAGTTGTGATGCGTGTTTCCGTATAAATTAACATTCACTCTTGAAATGCTTTCATGTTTTCAGTTTGCCTGTTTCTCTCAGTCAATTAGAACAATTTTTTTTTTAACATTTTTTTTTTTTAGTTCTCCTTTAATTGTGGGTCCTGTTATGGCCTTTTGATATTCCTGGTTTCTATGTCACTGAGAGAAGTTTTTAAAGCTTTATACCTACTCATGGACTCTGTCTAAAGCTGAGAAAGTTATATACTTGATAAAGTAGGTGTCTTTGTATTTATTTCTTTTGGGGTTCTAGAGATAAGCTTTTTAATAAAGGCTCTTAACTTCTCCTGAGCTTTTGAGGAAAACTGGCAGGAAAAAAAAATTATCATCCCACAAGTATACAATAGCAGTGCTGTTCAACAGCAGGGCTTGCGGTAGAGCAGGAACCAGGACGTGTCTGTGGGTGGCGGCATTGGAGTACGGCTGTCCTGTCTTCATGAATGAAATCACTTACCCACTTTCGGTGCTGTGAGGCACTGGCTCCCAGATTCGGTTTGGACTCGAGGTAACTGGTGCTTGAGGAGTCAAGGAGCCGGCCCATCTCCCGGAGGATGCCCATGATATCTGCTGATGGAAAAGTCGGGCGACATACTGGTTTTATTCTTGAATGTCCAGGCTCATACTTTTTGGATTATGGCCGTTTGGAATCAGACACATGTGGTCTTGGGTTTTTGCATGGGAATTAATGTAATGCTTATAAAATGAAAATGAAATCATTCAACAATCTTAAGTCAGACACAAAGATAATAATAAAAAAGAAACATACTGGCCTTGAAATTTTGTTGTTGTTATTCGTTTGTAATGTCAAAATTAATTTTCTTAGTAGTGATTTCCGGTAAATACAGCCATTGTCTTTCAGGTCAATTTTCTTTTTCTTTTCTTTTAAATGTATTTAGTTGTTACAGGGTCTCACTACACCGCTCAGACTCATAGTGATCCTCCTGTTTTCAGCCGCCCCAGCGCTGGCATTACAGGTATACACCACTATACCCGGGTCTGCAGCTGGCTCATCCTACCCTGGGGGCGGGGCTGGCATTGCATGTGGTGCCAGAGATTGAACTGTGGTCCCTGCGCTTGCCTGAGCTTGCCTAAGCAGATTCTTTAGTCTGCTGAGCTATCTTGCTAGCCCTCAGGTCAAATGTTTTGGTAGTGAACATTCACTATTCATTCTTCCTTTCCTCCAGTTTTCCTGCTAGCATCTAGTCATCCTAGAATTTGTGGCCTTCTGAGAAAACAGCCTGATTCCCAACTCCAGACAAGCTTCACCATTGGGAGATCCATTTGACACATACTGTCATTTCCTTGAACATCAACCTCAGTGAAGGACAGATGATGTAGCTGCTCTGGCCATGTGTGTGCCCTGTGTTCTGTGTGGGATTGTGGGAAGGAGTGGACCATCCCTGCACGCAGAAGGAACCCTTTGGCTTTTACTGCTATTGACAACTTTCACACAGTCCTCACTAAGGCCAGCTATAGGATAAAGCTGATGTCAATGGCACTATCTAGAAATGGGAAATAAATACTACGAGCCATCTGAACTCCTGAGTTGGTAGACTCTGCCCGTTGAACTTTGTAGTCACATTTAATTATTTTTACTCAGTTTCGGTTGGACTCACCTCGCCAAAACATGTAAGATAGTATGGCACATTATAAACCACTTCAGTGGGGGCTGTGAAGATAGCTTGGTGGCCTAAGTGCCTGCCTGGCAAGCACAAGATCCTGAGTTTGTTCCCTGGTACTGCATGCCATACTGGCCCCGGAATGCCAGGTGCACTGTGCCAGCGCATGCCTGTAATCCCAACACTGGGGAGGTGGATGTAGGGTCACTATGAGTCCAAGCTGTGTAGTGAGAACCTGTACCAAATCAATTAATTAAAAGTATATTAAAAAATAACTCCCCACAGTGGCTATTTAGCTTTTTTTCCCCCCCTCTAGGAATAACTATCATGGATACTCATATACTTCAGGAACCAGTATATACTATCTGATATAATTCCACAGAATACCGTAACCTTTATCTCTAAGAACTATGTACCTGCTAAAGTCTGTTAGAATGTGTTAGACTTTGGCCATCACATCATACCTTGTAGGTTAAAGTTACAGATTGCTGATGGAGCAAACATTCCAACAGCGATGGCTCTAAAATCCACTATAAGCTGTCACAACTTGCTCTGAGTTAGTGTCTCAAATACAGTCACCAGCCTTTGCCACATTGTAAATTGCTGCATTTCGAGGCAGACTTTCGTTCCAGGTGTGGCCGCAGCGCACTGGTCCTCCTGGCACGCTCATCCCTTTTGCCACTTCTATGTGTACTGAAGAATGCAGATTTGTAGACTTCACAAGTCTAGCATCTCCTGGACTTTTGTTATTTTAAAACCTTTTAAAGTTGTTTTAAATTCCCCGAAATTGCTATCAACACAAGACATTATTAAGCCAAATGTTGAGAATGAAAAGAAATGGAATGTAGTTTTATCCCTTTTCTTTTCTGAAACCTCAACAAATAACTGAATTACTAACCAGTCTCTTTCTAAAGGCCAGGAACTAGTTAAAATCACTTACCGGGGCTGGGGTGCTGTATGCCTATAGTCCCAGTGACCCAGGAGGCTAAGGCAAGAGCATTGCCTGAGACCAGAGGTTTGAGAAAAGCTTGGGCAGTATAAGGAGTCCCTTCTCAAACAATTAAAGCCCCTCATGTTTCAAATATAATACAAAGTGCACTAAGGCTGAGCTCATAATTTCAATATTATATATGATTGATGTCTTTGGAGGAGGGAGATTCCTGTTTGTTCTCTCTTTTGGGAATCAATTATTTTCTGCCTTCTGCCTTTCTCTTCTAAAATGGAAGTTCCAGAGGCCAGGGAGATAGCTCAGTGGAATAAGTGCTTGCCTGGCAAGCACAAGGTCCTGAATTCAATCCCTGGTACCACAAAAATAAATAAATAAATAAATAAATAAATAAATAAATAAATAAGGAAGTTCCAGGGTACAAATGAAGGTCAGTTTAAGAGTTCATAGAGCTACTTGGAAATTTTCACGTCAGAGCCAAACAGGTAAAAATTAACACTATCCCTGAAATCACTGTGCAGAAGTTACCTGGGACAAAGTATCCTTTGGCTAACTTCATGCTTTGGTGGAGATGAGAGGAGGTGAGGAAGAGGCTTCTGGCGCTGAAGAGCTCACACTTAGCTCTGCACCACCCCAACCATGTGACGCATTGCAGTAGCTGCGGGAGTTCCCACAGAGTGGCTCTTCGTGACAATTCTCAGAGAAATGAGCCCAGTCATCACAGATAGAGATTGGCTGTTTTGGACCAGATTATCCCCTTGCTTTGAGAATCTTCTTGACTCGAAACAGCCTCAAATGGGGTGGGCTTTTTGGGAAGGAGAGGAGAGGTCACCTAGTGCTGCTGGTCTCCCGGGGCAGCTGCCCGAGGAGCCGCACAGCTCGCAGGCGGCACCGGTGATGGTGTGGACGTGGTGTGCCTGCGAGGACTCATTACTGGAGACTGGCTTCCTGATGTGATGACACGGAGAGGTGGTGTGAGCAGGTGGTGTGAGCTTGAGAAGGTAGGAGCTCACCGGAGGCGATTCTGTCCTCAGGAGGGCTTTGTGCGCAAGAGTGGTTGCCCTGGCCTCTGACCTCCAGGCAGCTCTGCGACTGCCCCCTTCCGCAGGCCGTCCTTCCACGGTGCCCTTGCCATGCTGTGATGAAGCCCTCGCCAAGGAAGAACAGGTCTCAGACTTTTGGTCCCCCAGATCTGCAAGCTATTTTTTTTGTTTAATAAAAGTGTCAGTTCTCAGGGATCTTACTAATAGCAATAGAAAACAGAATAGTGGACTTCCATCTCCAAAACTTGTTCCCTTGGACCAGCTGCCTGCCTGGCTGATGTGCTTTCCATCTCGTCGTTGTTAAGGTTCTGGGGAGGACTTTTTTTCCCCAGTCCCCACCGTTTGCCCTGTCACTAAACAGAGCACTACTCCTTCTACTACTGGAAGGACCGCATGCTCTCTTGTTTATTACTATTAGGTGAATATAAATACATTTTTAAGTGATTAAATTGATATAATCAATGGTCTCAATAAGTTAACTAGTTTTTAAGGTGCACCACTTGTGCCACAATTTCTTCAACAGATAAACATTTTGTAATACATAGCAAGATGTAATTATTTTCACATTTACACTTCTACCTCTTGAGGTATCAGGTGGATTTCCTGGAACTAAGTACCTGACACAAGTTAGAGGAGAGATACATTTTGTCTCACCCTTTCAGAAATTGCAGTTATGTTCAATGGGCTTAGACACAGAAGTGGCACAGTGGAAGGGTCCAGGGTGGAGAAAAGCTGTCCAAGTCAAAGCTGCCAGGAAGCAGAGAGAGGAAGGGCCAGAAAGGGAGGGAGACTTTTCCAGATTGTGTTCCCAGTGACCTGCATCTACCCACCAGACCATACTTCATACAGCCAGTCAGCTGTATCACCCCACCCAGGAGAGAGAAGGACTTGGGGGGCATTGTTGCTCTAAACCATAACAGGACAAGAACACTTCCGGGGCACTCATGCAGTAATCCACCTGTCCCAACCAGGCTCCGCCCCCTGACAGCACAAGCAGCCCTGTACCTGGTGCCCCATGACCCGATCATCCCCTGAAAGCCCACTGGTGAAGACATGAGACTGGGGAAACATTGTAGACCAAGCTCATAACAATTGGCTGGAAAATAACGTAGTTAAAAAACCAAAACAAAACATTTTACATAGTTGAATGTAATCATACCAGTTCAACTACAATAATGGTGTTTACAAGCATTGATAGTGTTACCCTATTTTAATAAATTCAGGAAGAACATGTTAACACCTACATAATTCTTACATCATGCACCTCTTACATGGATGTAGTGTGATCCCAGCTTTCTAAAGTTGAATTGAAAATCCTCACCCACAGCTGAATGCCAGCCTTCAGGAAACATCAGAAAGCCATATGATTGGATCCAGTGTAGTGGTTAAAAATAAACAAGAAACCACAGAGAACTCAAATATTAGTCACCATGTAAAAATACTTGTTCAGCATCTTTAAAGACATATTTAGCCTTAATTTGTTATGTCAGTTCAAAAGAGAATGTTCTCTCTGCAACTATCTCTCTCTGCAGATTGAACGGACTTTTAATCTGACCCTGATGAGTGTGCACCGATAATTTTTTTTCACTTGCCACATTCCGATCCATTATTTAATCTCAGAAGATAAAGGAACTAAATGTGACTAGGAAAAAATAGTGATGTCTTTGATTTTACATTCTTATTTGTAAAATACACAACTAGAATAGCTGTTCTCTGCCTCTGGCTTTCCCTAAGATCACTCCAGTCTCAGGAACAATTTCAACTTTAGATCTCTAATTCCATCTATTTCCACACCTAGAATATTCATTTTAAGAATATTCATTTTAATCAAACGTTATTTTTAAAAATCTTACTGACGTACCCCTGGCATAACAAACATGCATTCAATGCCTGTTGGTGCAAGTCTTGTCTGATTCTTTGCATTTCTGGAACTGTTTAAGCACCACAGCTACTTGAAACACAATACATCTAAGCATCAAGATTTCAAAGAATAAGGACTGGCAAGATAGCTCAGCAAACTAAGTGCCTGCTTAGGCAAGCTCAGAAACTGGGGTTCAGTCCTTGGCACCACCTGTCCCCAGGTGCGGTGAGCCAGCCACTGAGTGTGATGGTGCACGCCTGCCTGTAATCCTAGCGCTGGAGTTCTGTCTCTGGTATCAGGGT